GAACAGATAATCATCAGCTTCACTCAGAGTAGCAACATCATTCCCACGGGAAAGTTAACAACTAGCTCGGATGAATTTGTAATGGCTCTTGTCGCATAGTTAGAAAGCCAGGAAACTTTTGAGAGGTAAGTGAATTTATCTGCTTTTTGCATGTTATTAATCTATATTCTTTGGTGCATTATTTAATTAAATAAAAATTGTTAAGTGTTTTACTATAAAAAATTAGGCTTAGATTGGGTAAGTACTTTATTTCTTGTTTTCATATTTATTCTTTATTTATTATTATAAAAGTAACTAAAATTAAAAGTCCGGATCTTTTTAAATTATTTAAGACTAGAATAGGTAAAATAAGTAATAATAATAATATAATTAAAATTGTTCACATAGCACGCATGCGAACAGCTCGTGGGTGATGTAATTTGATAGTGTAACGTGAGCTGCATGTTCCCCGAGTGATTTACAACTTATAATGATGCAGATTGCAGTTAGACACAGGGGCAATAAAATGTAATTATAAATAGATGTATAATGTTACGAACTTAGAGCTACTTGGATAAACGAATGTAGTTTCATCTTACAATTTGAAGTTATACTAGAAAGAAAAGAAGGTTAATTTAGGTTTATTTTGATTGTTTTTGGGTGGTTATGAGGTCAGTTGAATTGACCAATCCCATTTTGAGATTAGGGTAGAGAAAATAACATATAAACTATAAGGATTTAGTGGAAAAAAAAACGTTTGAAATGCATTTAGGAGGTTTTAGGGATTACACAAAAGAAATCTGAGATTTTTGAAATAGCAAAAAGTATTTTTAATTTTAACATGAAAATTACACAGACTATTCAAAACAAACACTCAATATATTCATGGACAAAACTAAGAAATATGACTTTTTGTTTGTGAAAGACTGCCAAATTTCGTGAAGATATACCCAATATATAGAGAGTTATATGTATTAAATTTATGTCAACTTTAAATGAGTACAGAAGGTCACATGACTTGGTCCCAGTGACCAAGCCCGTGTCAAAAGAGTTAAGTAAAATAAAGATGACACCTGAAGAATGATTGAAAACAGATATGTTATGCTTATGAATTTTTAAAAACAGGTATGAAAAACTATCTTAAATAAATAGCAAGTGTTAGGAAATTCAGAGTTCACATTACATGAAAAAAATAAGCAAAGAATAAAAATTATTTTTCTGACAGATGAAACCAATGAACAGAAATTACTGATTCCAGGATCTAGATTAATTCCGAAAGGTTCAACAGTGTGTAGATTATCAATCAAATAAGCTTCTTTTATTTCTCTATCTGCTTTAGTTTTGAATCCTGTTTCAATGCTGATGAGAGTAATATCGTTAGTGGAATGACTGGGTTGGTTAAAGTGTTGAGCAACATGGAGATCTTTTTCGGTGTTAATAGAAGATTTATGGTTGTTGAAACGTTCTCTATGAGTTGTTTGTATATGTCATACATATTTGTGATTCCATTTTTCACACTGAATAAGGTAAATGGTGTTTTTTGTTTCACAAGTGATTTCTTTGGATTATTTAAAGTTTCTTTAATTGTGCTTGCCAGAAAATGAGTCAGTGGTCTTTATGAACTTGCAGGTTTGACAATGGGCTTTAATGCATGGACGGCAACCACTTTTGGGTGGGATGTAATTCACTTTTGTGTGAACAAGGATATTTTTTAGAGTTCTACTTTTTCGGAAGGAGACAACAGGAACTTCAGGAAATATCTGTTTAAGATGAATGGATAAGCTGTAGGAGATGAAAATGTTTTTTCAGAATTTGTGAAACATTTCTGAGTTTGTATCTCTTATACACAAATACACCTTTATCATATAATACAAATGCACATGTAAGCAACTATAGAGGGCAAGATACTTTTTGTAAGTGATTTACCTGTGAAGAATAAAAATACTTTTGCCCATTATATTTGCTGAACATCTACAACCTCATAAATGCATATCTAAAATTTTTTCAGTATCCCTGTCATTAGGATTTTACTGTGCAGCATGTAGCACACCTCCAACAGTTTAAGGTGTCTTGAAATTTTTAGTCTGTTATATATTCCTCCTAGAGCTATAAACTGACCTATATAGCATTGTTCAAACCAAGTGATGTTCTTCGTATATAATTCATGGTGTCTCTTTCAAATCTATAACAGTCTGTATTTAGGTCTGAAGAAAGTTGGTAGCCTGAAACATTACCTGGTATTTTTTGTTTTCTATACTCTTATATGAACTAATTGAAAATCGATAATGTAGGGTAACATGAAAAGTTGATAACTCTGACATCAAATTCGTAATACCATGTTGAATAGTACTTTGTACAACATCGAGGTGTGCATACTTTGACCCCACCAGAGCACATAATTCTACACCATATGTGTAATTTCAACTAAGTTGCTGAAGTAAACATTCCAAGGATATTATGTGTTCACAATAAAACATCAAACAATATCTTTAATTCAGAATTGAAATACCCTCTCTATAGAAACTACATGTTAGAGATAAAACAATAAACTAAATGCCAGTTGAGATGAAATAACTATCCACAACTATTTAAAAAAAAACATTTTATGTCTAGCTTCAAATGAATTGACATAAATGACACCCTAAAATACTTATGTTGAAAATATTTAATGTACCAATACTTAGGTGAGCTGAGCTATATCTCTAAATCCAAATGAGTTAAAATAAGCACAATAAATTCGGAATAACATATAAGAAAAAAGAGAGAGCTTTACCTCTTGTAGCATCTTCCAACCCTGTACAAACTCCTGGTGTTGTTGACATTGAAGTACATTTATTTTTCACGGACAGTGGTTTCTCAGGAATGGATGGTGTCTTATATGTGAAGGATTCTCCCCTGTATAGATCAGCAATATCATCCTGATGATTAAGTATTACAGTAGTTGTTTTCTTTTGTTTCAAATATTAGTAAATAGGTCATAAACATGCATACTGATAGCAATGTTTCAGTATTATGTAGTGAAAAATAACTACATTTGACTTGTCTCATGATGCTATTATGAATTTAATCTTTTTTTTGATGGGCTATTTGCATTTGTCATTAAAAATATTTTGTTGACTGACTGAATAACAGAATCATGAGTTATAAGTATAATATTATTATTAACATATGTGGTCACAAGTTTAGTAATGTCAACATGGAAACTATATATGCACAGTAAAATAACTAAAATAATAACCATATGGTACCTCAATACTAACATACAGGTAAGTACAATGAATACATAACAAACAGCAGATTGCTGGGAATTTGAAAAGGTGAAAATACATAATTAGCAAGTTGCATCATGAGTTTTATACAGAGTAAAGAACTTAGTACAAGAATAGATACAACATGAAGTAGAATATTAAAAATGAATTGCCACATTACTTAAAAGTGATGAAATTTATTATAAAAAAAGAAATTATATATATATAAACAATAAAGGAAAACAGATAACTATTAATATACCAGAGTAAATACCATAATGTATTCAATTTACAAGAAGGAGATGCAATATCACACAGTCCAATCAAATGGAGAGTCCCCAGTTCATGAATTAGCCAGTTTTACTTACACATCTCATTATCTTATATACTGTGTAATATTTAATAATGTTGACAGCTGTGAATTGTAGAAACAAGTCACTGCTTCTGTGAAAATGTGAGTCACATAAGAAAATAAAGCAAAGACCATTCATGTTGATACTATTTCAGTGATTCACAACATGGTCATAATAACTTCTGTACATTGGAAATTAAGTATGCGATATTTAGTGTCATTAACATAAAACATCTTAAAAATTGATTAGTTCATAAAGTTAACATTTTCCTGAATTGAAAATATATTTCCAATCATACTTACCTCTTCTCACACTTAAACCTATTACTAGACCACCAGGGTTTCATCTTTGGCTATCTAAGCATTGGTCTGATTTTTTCTAGCTTACTCCAGTCTTTTATAACCCACTTAATTGCCCTTGGCAAAATATGTCTTGTGATACTCTCCATGCACATATGTCAATGTTCCCTCTATCTGGTGCTGTATACAAGCACCTCGATCAGATACTTTTATCACTTTTTCGAGACTGATACTACCCCAGTCTCTAACACTGGCTCTAAGGGAGGAGGAAGGGCGGAAGAGAGTGAAGGAAGGTAAGTATGATTGGAAACACATTTTCAATTTAGAAAAATGTGAACTTCCAAAACACACATATATCTGCTCCCACTTATAGCTAGAATCCTACGTTGAGAAGGTGGAGGGGCCAGTGAGGGCATTATCCATATAAAAAACGTCTGCATAGATCATGGGTGTACCAAGATATGAGTGGTATTCGAGTGGGGGAAATGCACAACATCCAGATTAGGTACGCTCTTCACCTCTGAACTTAGTTCCAGTATCTAGGGTGGAATTATACATGAGTAATCATCACTATAGGCCAGCCCCAACCAGATAGTCAAGGTTTCACTATTCTGTGTTGGAATTAAGGGGGTCTTGGTTCCTATATCCAATGCTGGTGGGTAGGGCAATAGGATCGCAACGTTATATATAGATATAATTTTGATTGAATCACAACCTGTAGCCATAGAGTGGTGTGTTCAAAACCACCAGAATCATGATGAGAAAGTAAACAACACTGCAGCGGACAAACCTTCTGCTCCACCTGAAGAAGCCAAAAAGGCAATACCCCAGCCTTGAAATGATGGGGTTGTGTATGCCTTACTCAACCAAAGTAATAGAACACATCTGATTTGGAATTATGAACATTCATCCTCACTCCCAAACTAAATGGGCAAGGAGCTATCCACTTGCCCCCAGAATTATGGGGAGGACATCCAGGGACCCCCAACTTTGCTCTCTTCTCCAAGACTGGAGGAATTCACTCTAACACTCTGGAGGAAAAGCCTCTGTTCACCACTCCAGTGACTCCCTAGCTCCACTAGTAGAATCTGGAGGGTAATGTGCATTGGGGAGCCTGGAGGTCGCTTAATAGCTATAAATGGGAGGAGAGGTATGTATGTTTTGGAATTAAGGACTCTTCACCAGAAGGGATTGAATGAACAATTCTCCTTCGATAAATTTAACAGATTAAATGTGTAAAGTTCACATAATTATTTATTTTCTTCACTGAGTAAACTGTACCACTAGACCAGTGTTTTCCAGCCTCTAGATCCTTCAGATTTCCTCACAGGGGTGCAAAGTAGCATAATAAATAAATGCATTGAATATGTAACTATTTCAATAAAACAGATTATTTTAGATGCTTTTTTTTCTGCTGTTAGGTATATTCTTTAATTTTTTTTTAAGTTTCTAGTGGGTGCATGATGTAGGTTTTGGGCAATGGACCTCAATATAAAGAAAAGGTTGAGAACCACTGTAATAGACAATATTGATGTAACACAATTTGTCCACCAGTGGCTCAGCAGTAAGTCTTAATGCTTATAATGTTACAAACCAGGTTTTGATATCCATGGTGGCAGTGCACAGACAGCTCATTGTGTAGTTTTGTGCTTTAAAAAATGATAACAGGGTTAGGTTGTAATTTTAAAATTATCCTAATATTGTGCTGAATTCCCTGGCCTGTATATTTTTGTTTAAAACTTGTCACAACTACTGTGTAACTAAAAAAAAAACATTTTTGGGTCTCTTAAACTACCAACAATCTTCTGTCACATCTGCAGACAGGTGATGGTCTGAAACTTTACCTAATAAACAGTTTTTACTGATCATAGAGCAAAAATAAACAATAACAAAATGTACATGGATAAAATGCAGTAATATATCATTAGGCCTTAAGATGGCCTGCTCCTATGGGCATAAATACCACAGTTTTAATGACTTAAAAAGTATTTCTACAATAAAACTGTTCAAGATATTAAATTCAATCATCCAGTGGATCCTCATATCTTATTATCATCAGAAATGTTCTGAGAAAAAAAAAAAGATCAGACCAAATTTGAAAATCTGCTTTCTGGAGAAATGCTTCAAGTAACGAAACTACCAGGTACATAAATTTCACAAGCCTCAGTTTTGACTGATTATTATAAATTGTACCCTAAAGCTTCTTAGCATTGCCAATTGTTTTGTAAAGTCCAGGCCAGGCTGATTTATTGGTAGGATATAGGGTCTTAAATGCTGCAACTGTGAGTTTTGTTTCAATTGGTTATAAGAAAGAAACTGGGCAGAATTCTTGGGATCTGCTAGTTTAGCTTATAAAATCACAAAATTAAGTTTGTCTGGCAAACAAAGTTATTGTTTTATGTTAACATTTTCCTAAACAGAAAATAAATTTTCTGTTAGATACTTACCTTCTCTCACAAATAGCTTTTCTCAATTTATACTGACCACTAAATGTGTAAATTTTTGCTTGCCAATAGCCTTGGTACTCCCACCTACTCTCATATATATTCACGTGAGACATCTGCATGCTATCATGTAAATGATCATGCAGCAACCCTCCACCAATAGAAGTGTGACACAACTTCTATTGTCATTAGTGCGCTTTCTTCTGTAAAGTCCATAATCAGTTCGAGATTGGGCAGTACATACAAAACCTACACCAGAAGTGGGAGGTCAGGCTGGAAATGTGCAA